GCTCGAAGTTTCGAATATCAAGACTAATTTACAGTATTTGATCGAAGAAGTTATGTATATTAGGATTTAGGGTTAGACACAACTTAAAAGGGATGTTTGTGAGGTTGAGATCGAGTCTATATATTAAATATATAATTTCAGTTAAGTTTTAAGTTTAAATAATTATAGAAAGTCTACATATAATAATATCTTCCTTTTTATCTAAACCTTTTTTTTCAGACCGTCGACTTGCCACTGCCATGAAAACTGAGTAAGGTTTCGTTCTGGAAATTGCAAAATCAAATAGGAATCAAGGATTATGCATCTATATAGAAGAGGTAAGTTGTCATTTTGGTATATAAGGAAAAGATAAATGATAAATATACAAAGTGCTCTATGGGGAGAAATCAAATATTGTTAATGATAAGATTTCAGGAGCATAAAAGATTATAAATATCCTGCGACAAGGGACGAGATTCTACGAAAAAGACGTAAAGTCCGCTTTCTAATCATCATTTAATTGAGATATATATATAGTATATACATATATATAGTCAGAATTGTAAAAAATTAGCATTTACCCAAAACTTTTTGGATACTCTGATCAGTTTGCAGCTGAGATACATAGTTGATCTCTTGGAGCTTGGATTGGATCTCATTGCTTGTGCCATATCTGAAACGATTTGCTCCAATTGCAGTATCGACTAGTGCCACGCCCATTTAAGCGGATTGCCCCGGCCGCAAGAGGCCATTTGTAAGCCAATGTGGGCCACAGAACCTGGCACTTGGAATGCACCCGATGATGACGGAGCCATTTAAGTGTTGCCACTAACGCAGCTAGGCCGGAACGGACCCATACTTTGACAGAGCTAGGCGCAGAGAGCGAGAGATAGAGAGAGAGAGCGAGAGAGAGAGAGAGAGAGAGAGAGCGAGAGAGAGCGACAACATTTGGCCGCTTGTCATCCGCATATTTCTGACCACAGCTTGGCTGCACTTCAATGAGCCCCAGGCCTGAACAGAGAAGAAAAAAGCCATGTAAGAGTGCTCTAGTCGTAACTGCCCGACTAGAAGATACCCTGTGCCCGGCTGTGGACAGATACAAGCACACATACTTCTGAGTTATCTTCTGTGCTCAAAGTCTCTGCATTATGAATTATTTGGTGTATACATTTCTGGGAGGAAATGGGCAGACAATTTTCAAATGTGAACGTCTCTATTTTCTGAGCGTGCTGTACGAAATTCTGGCATTGCTAATCTCAGAGATTTGCCCTAATTTATCGATTTTGAGCAAACACTGTGCGTATGGCATAAGAGATCTTACATCGATAAATGTCGATTCTTAGTTTTTGTTGATTTAAAACATGACTCGATAAAAATCGATGTTCAGTTTTGATTTACTTAAAACATGTATCGATAAATATCGATTTTCTGCGTATAATGTGCGTTTGGCGTACAAGAGCTTACTTTCCAAATTTTCCAACTAAGGCTGAAGATCGATATTTATCGATTTGATTTAAATAATGTGCGTATGGCTTAAAAGATCTTATATTTTTCATATGGTTTCTTTAGATCTGCTCATCTGAGAGACATTTTTAAATAAAACCAAAACCAACTTAACTATATTTATCGATAAATATCGATTTCAGCGAGTAATGTGCTTGTGGCATATAAGAGCTTTTAATCAAAATGCTGGTGTCTCTAGATCTGCGTAACTCAGAGATTTACTTAAAACCAATCAATACTAAAAATCGATATTTATCGATTTGGAACAAGTAATGTGCGTATGGTATAAGAGATCTTATATTGCCCATAAATTATCTCTAGATCTGACTAATCTAAGATGCTTTCAATTAAACCAAAACTGAAAATCGATATTTATCGACGTGTAATCGAGAAGGTCAGTTGCAGTTCAAGCATAACAGGGTATACAGAAAAAGAAAAAACTAAAACCAACAAAAAAAAAAAAACGGCAAACAGAAACTTTCTGCTGCAGCCATTAAAATTGGCCAGGCCAAGACGGAGCCGGAGCCGGAGTCAGAGTCAGAGAGCTAGAGCCCAAAAACCTGTTATCGATTTGAGGAAAATCTCAAGCGACTGCAGCTGTACAACAACTATATATATATACATATATATATGTGTGTGTGTATATGTATATAGATATATGCAGGGGCATTTTCCTTGTGCGTGTGTGTGCGCTGGAAATTCGAAAAACTTTCAATAATGCCCGTGCCAAGCGATTGGGAAACGTGAGAAGCGGCTCCAATTCGTTTTGCTATTGGCTTTGATCATCAGCAAAGCCAACAACAACAACAACAACAACAACAACTGCAACAACTGCAACAAGGCGAGCAAACATGTTTTTCCAGTGCGAATGTCAATCTGCGAAGTCCGCCAGCGAAGTGGATGTCCAGGATCGCAGATGCACAGCGACAAAAAGATACAAAGATACACAGCTATAAGATACAAGCCGCACTTAAAGATACTCAGACGCATTTGCGGCCCGAGCGGGCCAATGCCAGGGCGCAGTTTCTGTTCAATCGAGCAACAACCTTTGTCATAATTCACGCCAACCAGCGACACGAGAATGCAAATAAGAAGCTGAACAAGCCAGAGTCCAGTGTCCGACTGGAAGATACCCTAGGCCGAGTGCCAAGCAAGTGGCTTTGCCACACACTCCGTATGGTAAATGCATTCTTTGGTTAAGTTCGGAGCTCATGGTCCGATCTTTTCTGAAAATTTATGGACTTAAGTATGGCATACAAAGGCAAGCATATATCAAAGCACAAGGCCATACCCTGTAAAGAGTATTTTTTTTCTTTTCGAAAATTTATAAGAAATTATGGTGAACTGGTCAAAGAATGAAATATTTCCAATCTGTGTTAACTCCACGAGAACCTATCTATTGTGATCTTCGAATTAGACGTAAGAATCGCGATATCGAGATTAATCGATATTTATCGATATTTATCGAGAGTAAAATGAGTAGCTCGCTCTGCATTTGGCAAGGAGATGGATGGATTGTCATTCAGAACTTCAAGTCTCCAGTTTTTATATATTTTCCCAGCTCACACAGACATCTATATATATATAGTATATACTTAATGGTGTCCCTCTGCCTTTTGCGTGATAATACCCCTTCGTAATACACTTTTTTTACACATTTGCAATGGAACTCTGGGTACAAAACAAAACGACCCTCATTAATTACAAAACTGACCTTCCCTCAATGCAAAATGCATTTCGCCTTTTCCGTTTTTCCTTACTCATTTCCATGCAAGCAGATGAAAACTTATCGATTGCGTCTTAAGCCAAATCCGATTCGCTTTATATTGAATTTTTGAAGTAAGGAATTTACAGATTTTGGAATAAGCGCAAGATTCTGGCGAGGATTTGAACTCTTCCTGCCAAGCCTAGTGCCAATTGCTGATGAGCAGAGGGAAGCATCTTCGAACAGATAGGATATATACATATATATATATCTATATATAGGGTATATATATATATATGTATATCTATATAGACATTTTCGATCAGTACAATGTCGATCTGGCCCTTTGTCCCCGTTTGTGGGCCTTTAAAAGTGGTTGAATCTGTTTAACTATAAAAGCTAGACTTAATATCTTTTTTTAGAGAACAAGTTTATCTCCATTCTCCCATATCTGCCCCTACCCCTCCCCCCTTACCTTATATATTAATGAATATCCATTTAAAAACAGGTTCTCTTAATCATAACGTGGCTATTATAAGAATTAGAGGCATGAAATTGTTATAATTACATATTAAGAATGTTTCACTTTTTTGTTTATTCTCCAACTACCCCCCCCCCCCCACCCCCTCCCCCTATTGGACGACGAGATCAAATTGCGCAAGCATTTTTTTAAACATGATCTCAGCAAGATGTCAAATAAAAACAACAACAAAATGAAAACAATAAACAATGAAATTGACAAACTAGTCTGGTTCTGGCATGTTGAAGGTGTGCGTAGCATCTGCTTGGAATTTGTGGGCGACAATGCCAATTGGCGGCTCTTGTTTGGCATTCCCAATTGGAATACGAAACGCCCGCGCGAATATCGTAAATTCTGCTTGGCCAACTGGCAACAACAACAACAACAGCAGCAACAATTTATGAAATCTTTCACTTTGCCAAGTTGTTGGCATTTTGAAACACCTTCACAGGTGCTTCTTCTTCTTCTTCTTCTTCTTGTTGTTGTTTTTGTAATTTGTTGTTGTTACATTTGAGTAATTTATTTTTCGCAGCAAAACGGGTTTCGAAATATGCGATCTTTTTCAGCGAGGCAATTTTATGGCCTGCCCCAACAGCGGGTATTTCGATTTTGTCATTAAATATGTAACGCATAGCAGAAAAACATCTTCCCATTACCATAAGCTCTCTCTCTCTCTCTCTCTCTGTTGCCTCTGTCCGCTTTATCCTCATGCAACTGCCTGCTGCAGGCAGGGTATTTATACGTCGGAGCGTTTGCAAGTCTTTTGCTTTGCCAGATATTTTGCCTAAACTTGCCAAGCTCTGCTCCATGCGCCTGACATATATCTAAGAACTTATTGATATCGGATCGGATCTATATAGATCGCTGGATTGAAGCGATTGCAAAGTCAGTTGGAAAATGTTGCTTTTCTTCAAGTCAACTTGACCAGAAGCCGCACTTAAGAGAGCTTCGCTCTTCTGCGTCCAAGCATATCAAATCGGACATTGTAGTCCGATCAATACACGCATTTCTTTCAGTAATTTTTGCGTGTAGGGTATTTAAACTTCGCCGTGCCGCAAACACTTCTTTTTCTCTCTATACAAAACATGCTGTCATTGAGAACTCTAAAATGCTGCCACGCCCCAGCCCCAGTCACGCCCTCCTTTGTGGCCAATTTGAGTCCTTCCCTCCGAATCTTTTTACGTTTTGCCAACAACAATTTGAACTTTTATTCACAAGCCGCTTAAAAATTATTGAAAAAAAAAAAAAACAAACAGAAATGTTATTCAGTTATGCATTGGTCCTTGCTGGACTTTACCAGCTGCCCGCATGGGCATTGGCTGAAGCCTTGGCATAGGCACCGCTGCCTCCGCCGCCGCCGCCTCCTCCTCCTCCATAGCTGTAGCTGTTGGCGCTGCTGCTGGCATAGGAGCCGGCTCCTCCGCCGCCGCCCTGATGACCACCGCCGCCTTGATAACCGCCGCCTCCCTGATGACCGCCGCCGCCTTGATAACCGCCGCCGCCCTGATGACTGCCGCCGCCCTGGTAGCCGCCGCCGCCCTGATAGCCGCCGCCTCCACCGCCGCCGTGATAGACAGGCACCTGCTTAACCACATACACCTCGATGCTGGGCGCTTGCTTGTGGCCATAGCCACCGCCGCCTTGATAGCCACCGCCGCCTTGATAGCCACCGCCGCCTTGATAGCCGCCGCCGCCTTGATAGCCGCCGCCTCCTCCATAGCCATAGCCGCCGCCGCCGCCGCCTCCACCATAACCGCCGCCGCCTCCGCCATGTCCGAAGAGCAGCTTCTTCTTGAGCTGCAGCAGGGAGGGCGTGGCGAACGCAATGCAGCTGCCCACGAGCAGCCAGCTCAACAGCAGCCTCCAGTGTCGCATCGTAGTCATCGTACTCATCAGTTCCGGCTGCGGCCGATGCGTTTCACTCGCGGATGAATCGAAAAACAAAAAAAACACAAATTAAATAAAGTCTCCCTTAGCTAACAAGTGCTGTTGGCCAACTAAACGAACGGCCGCTCATCCCATGTCCATTTATAAAGACGGGCCGGTGCACAGTTCTCAGCCGGGGCCATTGTTTCTGGCCCGGCTAAGTCGTCATCTGGCTGTTTTTCACAATTAAGCTCGCCGGATGCACCGCGAACTGCATCACTTTAACAACAACAACAACAACACATTGGCAACCTTTTGTTAATCAATGCATCGCAGCTCATCTGCCGGGTCTAAGCCTAGCTGGCAAGCGGCAGCCGCTGCAGCTGGTGTCACGCATTCGCCTGGTAAATTTGCAATGTACTTTAACTGCCAGTCAAATGTTTTTCTCCCAAGTCAAATGCTGGCTTTATTTCATATATCATTCATATTGTATCAGTTAATGTAGATTTTCAAAGAGTTGATACTGATTCCACATGGTAAATTTGCAATGAACCTTAGCTTAAGTCAAATGCTCGTTACTACGGCAAGTGCTGGCTTTATTTCATAGACATATTTTCATTTAAATTGTATTAGCTTAAACAGATTGTCAAGCATATGAACTCAGTACTCCTGGTGAAATTGCAATGAACTTAAACTGCCGGTCAGATGTTCTTTTCTAAGACAAATGCTGGCTTTATTTCATCATCATATTCATCTTTAATTTTATTACATTTGGCAGATTTTCAAATATATACACTCAGTCTAGCGTCGTCCTGGTAAATTTGCAATGAACCTTAACTGACAGTTAAATTTCATTTTGAGGAGATTTAGCTTCAGCTTTAATTTCTTTCAAGCATATGTACTGAGTCCACCTGGTAAATTTGCAATGAAGCTTAACTGCCAGTCAAAAGGTCTTTGCTTTTAACTGAAGAAGGAAAAGGGCTCCATTATTCAAAATATCAAAATTGCCATTAGCTTTAACATCAAGTAAACATTTATATAATGTGTTCAGCTAAAAGAACTGTTTTGTAAATACACGTTCAACAAACTAAGCAACAGTTTGCTGTAGCGCACTTAAATACATTGTTTAGTAAAAATTAAAAACATCATAATCAATTACATGCATATCGCTTGTTGGAAAATCCCCCTTACTCATCATGCTCGTCATGCTATCCAGAGAGTTCCAACAGCGGACCATTCTGTACCTCTCTCCCTCTCTCTCTCTCTCTCTCTCTCTCTTTCTGTCTGTCTCTGCCTTTATCTCTCTTGGTAATTGCTGTCTAGCAGTTAGCCAGAGTTCTATTAGAAGTCTGCTTGTTGTTCCACATCAAGTCTTACATGTTTATGTTTTAACTTTAACTTTTACAGCTTAGTTTGCAGCCAACATGTTTATGTTGCTGTCAAAGCTTGACAAGCACTTTTACATGCCGTCAATCTAAATTGTTGCTCGTTTCCACTTATGTTTTTTTAACCTGCCCGTTAACATTTAGCAGGTACTTTATCTTCATTGTTAAGTGCAAAACCTTGAAACTGTTTCTTAACCGCTCTAAAATCGCATCGTTCCAGCGACTGTCAAGTGCCATTATTTCAGCTGCATTTTTAACCATGTGGCAAAGGCGTTTGCGAGTCGTGTCTACCCGCCTCGCGCTGCAAAAGATGAGCATTAATCACGGGGGTGCACAACTGGAAACAATGGCGTCGCGGCAAATACAGCTCTAGCTCATAAAGTCACAGATAACTCTACCAGACAATATGCTTGTAAATTGCTAATTTTTGGCTTAATATCTAGAAATTCCCCAAAGGCAACCCCCCATTCACCGGATACTGTCTACTGATTGATGTGAACTATGCAAATCAATCGAACAAGAACCAAGCGAATAAGTGAGCTCTAGTCGGGAATACCCGACTACCAGATAAACTGAACCCGGCCAAGCAAACATTCAAGATTTCCTTTGGCAAATATAATGATTCTTTCCATTCGTTGTGCGGGAAATGCATTCTGATCGGACCGATCGGTGCTTATGGTCCGATCTATGTATATGAAATTCTCAGGGACTTTAAGAAGTTTTTTTTTAGTTTAATTTTGGTGGCAAACGGCAAGAGGCATCCAAAAAGAGAGCTATGCGATAAACGAGTATATACCAAGTTTGGTATAGCTAGATAGATTGTGAGGCATTACTCGAGTATTACAATAGCATCTCTATATATAAAACTGTTTGTCCTGACTGACTGACTGACTGACTGACTGACTGACTGACTGACTGATTGGTGATCAACGCACAGCCCAAACCGTGAGAGCTAGGAAGCTGAAATTTTCACTGTAGCTACTTTATGTGTTGTAGGTGCACGTTAAGAAGGGGATTTGGGAAATTCCACCCGCAAGTGTGGAAAAATCGCGAAAAACGTTTGTATGTTACTTTTTTGTTTACCATCCGATCGGCCCCAAACTTATTTTCAAAGATCTTTGTTCAAATTCATTTGAGGGGTGTTTCACTCTTTTAGGAAAATCCATTCCTCCTTGGTGGAAATGGAGGTCAAAGATTTGGTGGGTGACGTTTCGCGCTCAAATTCGTTTCCAAAGATCTATAAGAAAAATCATTTGAGACGTGTTTCACACTTTTCACAGAATCCAAACTTTTTCGGGTGGAATGCGACTCAAAGATTTTTTGTGCGAAGTTTTAAATTGTGTCCGATTTGCTTCAAACTTATTTTCAAAGCTCTATATAAGAATGTAATGAATACGTGTTTCAGCGATTTGGGGAATTCCACTCGCAACAGTGGTAAATTAGCGGAAAACGTTTGTTTGAAAGTTATGTGTTTACCGTCAAATCAGTTTCAAAATCATTTCAAATTTTTTTGAGAACATTGATTTTACATACGTGCCACGGGCAAGGCCGGGTTATACCCGCTAGTAATATATATAATATCTCACTTTCATGTCCCTGACAATTATAGTTTCATATTTCCAGCTTTTAAAGTTTCCGAAATCTACATTTATTGCTATTAGAGAAATTTAAGTGCATCACAAGACACAAGTATACAAGACTTTATTCTCTATATGTTATATAGCCAGCTTTTATTCAGACTATCTCGGCTAGCCCAACTCTTCTGGTTGCCCTGCTCAATATACATGTTCTCTGTTAGTTACATTTGCACAAAAACCTTTGAACATCCTTTAGCCCGTTTCCCAGGGATTGGGGGCATAAGAAAAACAATTTCTCAGTTATTTTCATAAAATATAGGCATGTTTAAACACATATGCACATATATATATATATTTATATATATAAATATTTATACATATATATGTATTTTTATGACATTTTGGAATGATTATTATGTAGTACATCGTTTGGGTGTGTGTGTGTGTGTAGGTGTGTAGGTGTGTGTGTGTGTGTGTTGTGGCACAGTCCACGAATTACAACTAAAATAAAGTCTACTCCATAAACTCGCTGTGTGTGTGCGTGTGCGTGTGTGTGTGTGTGTGTGTAGTTTAATTTCATTTTTACTTGCATAGTTTTTTTTTTTGCTATTTTTAAATTTTATATTTTTTATTTATAATTTTCATCTTTTCAGATTTTGGAGAGGAAAGTTTCAGTTTTTATCGCTACATAGGCACGTCAGTTCTATTTGTTTTGTTTTGTTGTTGTTGTTGTTGTTGTTGTTTTTGTGTGTTTTTTTTTCTTTTTCTTCTCATTATTTATGGTTTTTGCTTATAAATAATTTTAATGATAATTTTTTTTTTTAATGTATATTCAATATTTTTGTATTTTATACAAAAAGCTGGAAGGAAAGAACGTAATAGAAAACAGAAAATACTAACTATATACATCCATAAGTATATATATATATATATATACGATATAGCATGTATATAGCGGGAATACAGCGGGGGTGTGTGTGTGTGTGTGTGTGTGTGTGTCGCTTGTGGGGCGTTACAATTTAAATTACAAAAATACTAAACTATCGATAAATTTATCGATATACACAATCTCGCTAAGATAAGAGAGAACTTCCTCTCCCTCTCTCTCGCTCTCGCTCTCGCGCTTTCATTCGATAGGCCTTAGCTAAGCTGCAAATAGAATCGCGCTTGCGATCCAAAAATAAACTATATATGCATTTAAATCGTACAAATGTGAGTATATATATATATATGTATATATATATATACTGTAAATAAATACAATTCTCAGTATGCTTATGGTAAGTGTCTTCTTTTCGATTTTAATCATTTTTTATTTTCTTCTTTCATTTTCTTTTTTTTTTACTAAATTGGCTAATTAAATATTGTTCGTTTGTCTTAAGTGTGAACCTGGCTGTGTGTGGGGAGTGTTGGGGCAGGGGGGAGATGTGCGGGTCTTAGGCTTTTAGGTATAAAATCTAAATGTATTAACAATTTTGTCTATTGCACCCTGTTGTTTAAGGCCAGGCCAAAAAGAAGCGACGCCTTTCTATGCGCTTCTCAAGAAAAAAAAAAAAAAAAATTTCCATAAAATAATAATAATACAATATTATTGCATAATAATTTGTTGTTGTGTGTTGTTGTTGCTGTCTCTCGTTATTGTTGTAATTGCACTTATGATAACACGAAAAAAATGTCTTAATATGGTATTTTTCTCTTTTAGCTTTTATATCTTATTTTGTTTAGTATTGTTTTGATTTGTTTGTTCTTGTTCTTGTTGTTGTTGTTGTTTGTGTCTCTAGTATCGCTTTCATTTGTTCCATTTATACATATTGATAATAATAATGATAATAATAATAATAATAATGATAATTCGCTAAAATTAAAATTCAGTACTTTAATAAATTGCAAATACAATTTACATGCGTGTGTGTATTTTTATGTAATGTCTTGTTTATAGCCTTTTTGTGTAAGCTAATCAAAAAAAAAAATATATATAATATATATGTATATATATAGAGATTTTTCTATATATATATATATATATTGCAAATGTGGAGCATATATAGAATATAAAAATAAATAAATGTTCAGTTAACAATAACCATTCACATTCACGTACATCAATTTGTTTAGCATGTTTTTGTTTTAGTATATAATAAATACTAGATTATAATGGGTTTTTCTTCTCTCTACTAATTATTAGCGGCGCCAGAGTTTCAAAAGTCCAAAATGTTGCAACTAACGACTAACAATTGAATAAAATACCGACATTTAAATAATAATAATAATAATAATAATAAAAAAAATATGCTTCATATATTTCTATAAAATAATATATATGGAAAAACGACCTAAATGGTATTTTTTTCGCTTTTGTTTTTTGTTTTGGAATGACCGCTTTGCGTATGTGTGTGTGTGTGTGTGTGTGTTGGGGTGTGTGTGTGTAGTCTTACATTCTAGGAATGCGTAGCATATAGGCGCTATATGCGTCCTTGTTATCCATCTAATACAAAAAAAAAAATATTTATATATAGATATACATATATAGGTTGTATATATATATATATATACATATACATATATATAAATATAAATATGAATTATATCTATATATACGTATAAATATATATATATATCATGTAATACATCGTGTACATATATATAGTATAGAATACATTTGATGTAGTTTTATGCAGCGCGCGATTTGCACATTTAAATACTATATAAAAAATACAAATTGTTGTTGTTTCTTTTACTGCTGTGCATGGGTGTGTGTGTGTGTGTGTGTGTGTGTGTGTGTGTGTGTGGGTATTTTAGTGTATGTATATATATGTATGTGTATGCATATGCGTGTAATACTTATATAGTTAGGGAACGTGCGTTGGGCGGGACCGGGAGGCATTGTCTTCGTCGTCATCGTCTGCATTATCATTACTGTAACTGTTACAGTTACTGTTACTGTTACTGTTACTGTTACTGTTACAGTTACTGTTACTGTAGCTGTTACTGTTGTTACTGTGACTGACTGTTACTGTGGCTGTTGCTTTAACTCTTGCTGTTACTGTTACTGTTGCTGTTACTGTTGCTGTTACTGTTACTGTCACAGCTGCTGTTACTGTTACCGTAGTTAAAGTAATCGTTTAGTCATTGTCTTTGTTATCGTTGTTGCTTTAGTCCATTGTGACGTCATCGTTATCGATATTCCTATCGATATTGCAAGCAATATTATAAACGTGATACCAAAAGTTAAAATTGGTCATTGCCAACATAGTTGTCAATCTCTGACGATATATCGGTGCCGATAACACTATCGTAACAGATATTGTTATCGCTATGGACATCGCTCTTCGGTTATTCTGATCGGTATCGTTAACGATATTGTTATTTTTGTTGCAATTGTCAATAAATCGCTTTCGATATCATTTATCATGTTCATGTCATCGTTATCGCCATTATCGATAGCAAAATTGTCATATTTGTTGTTATCGTGTTGCCCATCAAGTTTCAGTTAACATTTAAAATGTCACTGTTGGCATAAGCGTCCAGGTCATCGTCATCGTCATCTTCATCGTCATCGTTATCGTTATCGTTATCGTTATTGCTATCGTTAGACTTATTGTTACCAATACCGATATCAAAGCTATCAAAATAGTTATTATCGTGTTGTCCATTAATTTTAGTTTTAATTGCTGCCATTGTTTTCGTCCTTGTCCTTGTCCTGGTCCTGGTCCTGGTCATTGTTATCGCTATCGTTATCGTCAACGTCACATTTATAGTTATCGGCATCGTTATCGGCGTCTAGCGCGTAAAGGCACTGAGAAAATGTGGACCGCCCATGTCGAACTGCTGCTGCTCGTAGACATCGTCGACCATGGAGCCGACGCCCACATTGACGCCATTCGGCAGACCAAAGCCGGCGCCATTCGCCGCCAATGTGGCCGCCGCGGCGGCGGCGGCAACCGTGGCCGCCTTGAACTGACTGATGGCCAGCATGGGCGGCTTGTCGCCGGGCTTCCAGCGCCGATGGATGCCCATCGACTTGAGCTTCTGGCAGACAGACGACGGCGATATATTGATGCCCTTCTCGGCCAGGCGGGCGGACACCTTCCAGTACTGTATGTTGCTGTCCTCCTTGATCAGCTCGAGTATTTCCCGTGTGATCTCCTTGTCGCGCATCTCGCGCTCGGCGGCCTTCAAGCGGCGACGCGGATGCAACATCTTGCCGCCATTCAAAGGCGGCGTCTGCTGCTGCTGCTGCTGCTGCTGATAATGTGATGTGTCCGCTGGTGTGTGACGCAGTTGCTGCTGCTGCTGCTGTTGCTGCTGCTGTTGCAGCAGCAATTCCTGCTGGCGCTGCTGTTGCTGTTGTTTTTGCTGCTGCTGCTGTTGTTTGAGCAGCTCCATTTGCTGCTGCTGCAACTCTTGCAGCTGCTGCTGACGCTGCAGCTCCTGTTGATGCCGCTGCTGCTGCTCCTGCTGCTGCTGCTGCTGCTGTTGCTGCTGTTGTTGTTGCTGTTGTTGCTGTTGTTGCTGCTGCTGCTCCTTGGCAGCTAGAGCGGCCGCCTCGTCACGCCCCTCGGCGCGCTTGTTACGATAGGAGAGCGGCACGCCCTTCAATATGGCATCACGCACCTTCCAGGCCGTCATCTGGGAGACGTTCAGGGCGCGCGCTATCTCCATGGTGGACGCGTTCTGTGCCACCAACAGCTTGGCCATGGCATATTTCTCATCATCAATAAAGACGTTCGGCTTGCGCGGCTTTTTGCCAGACTGATGGATCTGCGCCAGCGGCTGCTGCTGCTGCTGCTGCTGCTGCGGAGGCGGCGGCGGTGGCTGCGGCTGTTGATGATGATGCGGGTTGGACGCGGTAACATTGCTGCCAGAGCTGCCATTGCTTAAAGAGAGACAACAGCATTAGAGAGAGAGAGAGAAAGAGAGAGGGAAATGGCAAGCACAAACCTCTCATTGCTGTTCATCGGCGGCAGCGAGCGCAGGGACAAGTTGACAGGCAAAGCATGACTGAAAAATGGCAAAAAAATTCATTGAATTAAGTGCATATCTCTTGGAGAGAGAGAGAGAGAGAGAGAGAGAGAGAGAGAGAGAGAGAGAGAGAGAGAGAGAGAGAGAGAAAGAAAGCGAGAAAGATGTAGATAGTCACGAAAAGTCGCAGAACTCAATACAAGTTTTTCAAGATGACTTCGGTGTTTGGAGTCCGATCTTTAAGATCTCAATACGGCATAGAAAAAGTGTGTACACACTTAATCTCAAACTTGAAGAGTGAGATAATCTCATTTTTGGAGCATTGAGCGGAATTATCCGAATGAAAGAAATGCGCTTCATTCGTGTGAAGCACATGAGAGGCCACATTTTAGGTTTGGATATACCAGACTCTTATCATCTTCAAATCGATATTTATCGTTATTGTGACGGAGTTATCGACATGAAACGAACAAAAGATACTTCGTGAGAACCCAAATTTCAGCTTTGCCGTATCTGGTTCTTCTAATTTTTCAAGCCATGCTTAATGAAAAATGTTTAAAATCGATATTTATCGATATTGTGACGGAGTTATCGAAATGGAAAGAATTGAGAATACTCCGTGAGAACCCATATATCAGGTTTGGGTACACCTATTATTATTTTAAAAGCTATGATATATAAAAAGTCTCCAAATCGATATTTATCGATATTGTGACGGAGTTATCGAAATGTTGAGAATAATGGATACTCGGTGAGAACCCATATATCAGGTTTGCCGTATCTGTTTCTTATAAGTTGCAACCTATGCTTAATAAATAATGCCTCCAAATCGATATTTATCGATATTGTGAAGAAGTTATCGACAAGAAAACAGGATCAACTCATGCTGCGTATCAAGCAAAGATGTTTAGTCTCGACTTAGCTCTTTAAGGATTCGGATGAGCTTCCTTTTGCCTGTCTGCGAACCTTTCCAGGCAGGTCGGAAAAAAGCTGTCATCTCCCAAGAGAGAACATGAAGTATTCAACCAGCTTACATCAGCTGATCAGCTGAACGATCTCCACTTACTTGGCCGCAGCAACGGCGGGCGGATAACGCGTCAACATGGGCAGCGTTCCATTGTGGGCGACCTTCTGCTGCTGCTGCTGCTGTTGTTGCTGCTGTTGCTGGAGCTGCAGCTGCTGGGCATTGACAATGTGCGGAAAGCGATGCGTTTCCGCCAGGAGTCGCTGATAGGCTTCGACATCGGCGCGTGCCGGCAACATGGGAGTCGGCGATAGGGAAATGGCGCGCTTTGAGTGCAGCTCGTGCTCCATGTCCTCGCCCTCGGCCAGGGGGCTGTGCTCCTCCATCTGGGCGCGCATATCGTAGCCGTTGTGCAGCAGGCCGCAGACATCATCGTCGCCGGCATAGCCGGCCGTCTCCTCGGCGCCAATATCGCCAATGCCATCGTTCTCGCCCTCGCCCTCGACAACGCCATCGCCATCTCGCTCGCCATGGCCATCTCGCTCGCCATGGCCATGGCCATGGCCATGTCCGTCGTCGGGCTCGAGCTCGTCGACAATGGTGAGCGCCGCGTGCTGCTCGTCGTCGCTGTCCATTTGCTCCTCCTTGATGAGGCCCAGGCCCAGATGGCCATATGGCAACGTGAGCTGCTGGCGTTCGTGCTGCTCCAGCTGCTGCTGGTGCTGCTGCTCCAGCTGCTGCTGCTGCTCCAACTGCTGCTGTTGCTGCTGCAGTTGCTGTTGCAGCTGGAGCTGCTGCTGCTGCTGCTGCTGGTGCTGCTGCTCCTCGAGAGCCTGATCCACGACACGCTCGTGCAGGCTGACACCGTTCACGAGACTCTTGCGCAGACGCCAGGCGAACGTGCGCGAGATGTTCAGCTCGTTGGCAATCACCGTGGTGGTCGCCTCGCGCAGTATCAGCTGCTTGGCCAGGGCGATCTTCTTGGCGTCCAGCTTGATGCGAGTGCGTCCCTTGCGCTTGTTCGTCAGGCCCAGCCTAAAATAAAAACAAATCGCGAATCATTTAAGTTCCTCTTCGGGAGACACACAAGATATTGCCACCTACTTGCGATTGTTCAGATGCAGTGCAGCATTGTCCGGCGGCGGCGGCGGCGGCTTGCGCGGCACCACACGCTTCGGAAAGTTGTTGAACTGCACAATATTCTGCTTGAAGAGCTGCTGCAAGGGCCTGCAAAGGGTTGTGGGTAAGGAGAAAGATATAGTATATGATATATGATATATGTTATAGTAGACCGATTTGATGCGCGGGAAGATTCTGTTCAAGCTGCCCTGCCGATTCTTCCCATAGAGCTATCCATCTATATACATATATACGAATTTGCTCTGACTGACTGGGTTTGAGCGAGAGATCGAAGGTTAGGGTACACGCGAGAGATCGCTGGTTCAAACTCAATAGCAATTGTCACTATTTGTTATATGATCATAATGATCAACGCACAACCCAAAGCGTATCAGCTAAAGCTTCCGTTTGAGTCTAAAGTTAGGGTACAAGCGAAAGATCGCTGGTTCAAACTCAGCATCAATTGTCACTTTTCGTATTTGTCTAACTGACTAACTTAAAGATAATCAACACATAGCCCAGGGCCTAACATACAGGAAACTGAAACTTATAATGAAGCTTCCTTATAGGTCGAAGGGTAGAGTAGAAGCGAGAGAACGCTGGTTCAAACTCAGCAACATATTTCATTTTTGTATTTATTTGTTGAACTGATTAACTGAAAGGTGATTGACGCACCAAAGAAAGCTCACTTTTTAGTAATGCTTCCTTTTGGCTCGATGGGTAGAGTAGAAGCGAGAGAACGCTGGTTCAAACTCAGCAACATTTTTCAATTTTGACATTTGTTTAACTGACTAACTGAAAGGCCCAAAACCTAACATCTAAGAAGCTGAAATTTGTACCTAAGCTTTCTTTTGACTTAAATGTGTAGGAACAAGCAAGAAATCGCTGGTTCGAAGTCACCAAAATTGATCATTTTGTTATATTTAACAAAAGTATAGAATAAGAGTAAACGTTAAATTATTTGTTTTGTGCGTTTGGTCAGCTAAAAGACTATCATAGATATTACCTGAAAGGACTCAATGGAGAAGTCAAGTTGGCAGAGTGCACGGCAAAGAGTAAGGGATTCGAGCTCCAGAGAAGTCGAAAAGGGAAATATTTTTAAGAATTTAAGCCAGAAACAATGCTTTGTTGTTAATTAATTAATATGAACGAGTAACGAGAACAGCAAAGCTCAAGGAGAGCTCAAGGAGAGCCCATCTGAAATCAAGCTGCCTCAAAGAGTGTTCGTCAGTGGCAGCTCATCATTGTCCCATCCCGTCCCGTCTTGTCCCGTTCCGCTGCCATCGCGATGGATACTTACATTTTGGCCGCCTTGGATGGGCAGCCGGTGCGCTTGTGCCATCCCAGATGATGGCCGGTGGGGAAGAGGACATGGCAATCGGAGCACTGCATGGGCCGGCTGTGAATGAGGTAATAAGAGAAAGGATTAGCCAAATGCTGGCGGGGATTATGCATACATATATGTGCTTGTTGGCAGTGACTCACGTCTGGTTGCGTCGCTTCTTGACGCAACGACCACGTCGGATGTGCTTCTCGAGGAAACGCTTGTAGAAGTAGGTCTTGCGGCAATTGGTGCACTCGTAGACGGGTCCGGGTGCGCCATGCACACTCTGCATGTGCGCCTTGAGTATCTGCTTCATCTCGAAGATCAGGTAACAGTGCGGACACTGGAAGCCACCAACGCATGCGCCGCCAATGCCAACGCCAACGCCGACGCCGACGCCGGCTGATCCATGGACAGCGCCGGCGGCAGCTCCATTGGCCAGGCCAGGCGCATCCGTATCGCTGTTGGGCATCATGGGCGGATCCGGATCCGGATCCGAGGGTGTTATCAGCTCAATTTCTGGTATCAATGGCAACGACATATCCTCGTCCTCGTCGTCATCATCATCGTCGTCATGAACATCGCCGCCGGCAACCATCACATGCCCGTTGCCATTGGGAAACTTGTTCATGCGCTGCTGCATATACTCCTGCATCAGGCGGATCGAGTTGAAGGGCATATGCTCCGGCATTTCGCCATCCTCCTGCTGCAACTGTTCCTGCTGCAACTGTTCCTGCTGCAACTGTTGCTGCTGCAACTGTTGCTGCTGCAATTGTTGCTGCTGCAATTGTTGCTGCTGCTCGTCAGCGTCAGCTTGCTGCAGTTCGTCGTCCTCCCGCTTCGGCTCCTGCTCCTCCCGGCGCTGCTCTACGACCTGCTGATGGCCATTGCTCTTGGCCTGTCCATTCTGTGGCCGTGCCTCGACCGCATCGCTCTCATGGCCATCGGCATCCGGATTGCCCGCGCCATTCGCATTGTCCTCCTCCTCCTCCTCCACCTCCTCCTCCTCGTCGTCGTCGTCGTCGTCGTCGTCGGAGCTGCTGCTGCTGCTGCTACTGCTGCCGCCGCCGCCGCTGCTGCTGGCGCTTGCACTGCCGCTGGCGCTGCTGTTGCTGCCGCTCTTCGCCGGCAGCCCGGCAGCTGTTAGGCATTCGGCAGCTGGTGCCGGCTCCGGCTGGTCGAGCACCGTCTCGGCCTTTAGCTCGGCGGTGTGGCCCTCGATCTTCTTGATCAGCAGCTGCTGGCGATAAAAGTTGTCCGCATCCTCGCACTTCTTCTTGAACAGGCACGCCGAAATGGCCGTCTTGGCACAGTTCACACACACCTGTTGCGGCAATGTGTCGTTCTTGGCGATCTGTACAGGTAAATTGAAAACGTATTTAACGACAATTCATTCAATTAAAATACGGCTACAGAGCCCCCCTCTCCACTGGGAATAACAGTAGAACTTTCCCTTCGAAAACTTGAGATACATTTCTAATAGAATAAAAGTCGTTTCAACCGGTTATAGCCAAGTTTCGAACCAACTATGACAATTTCTTACAATTAGTAATGAATATATCCTAATCTTAAAACTTTTATATTTAATTTTTAACTTGGAATCAGGTTAAGAGATCATCTAGAACTTTCCCTGCGGAAGCTTGAGATACATATCTAATAGAATAAAAGTCTTTTCAACCGGTTATAGCCAAGTTTCGAACCAACTATGACAATTTCTCCTCGCTCCTAATATGTTTCCTTAATGAATATATCCTAATCTTAAAACTTTTATATTTAATTTTTAACTTGGAATCAGGTTAAGAGATCATCTAGAACTTTCCCTGCGGAAGCTTGAGATACATTTCTAATAGAATAAAAGTCTTTTCAACCGGTTATAGCCAAGTTTCGAACCAGCGATTACAATTTCTTACAATTAGTAATGAATATATCCTAATCTTAAAACTTTTATATTTAATTTTTAACTTGGAATCAGGTTAAGAGATCATCTAGAACTTTCCCTGCGGAAGCTTGAGATACATATCTAATAGAATAAAAGTCTTTTCAACCGGTTATAGCCAAGTTTCGAACCAACTATGACAATTTCTCCTCGCTCCTAATATGTTTCCTTAACGAATATATCCTAATCTTAAAACTTTTATATTTAATTTTTAACTTGGAATCAGGTTTGGAGATCATCTAGAACTTTCCCTGCGGAAACTTGAGATACATATCTAATATAATAAAAGTCTTTTCAACCGGTTATAGCCAAGTTTCGAACCAGCGATTACAATTTCTTACAATTAGTAATGAATATATCCTAATCTTAAAACTTTTATATTTAATTTTTAACTTGGAATCAGGTTAAGAGATCATCTAGAACTTTCCCTGCGGAAGCTTGAGATACATTTCTAATAGAATAAAAGTCTTTTCAACCGGTTATAGCCAAGTTTCGAACCAGCGATTACAATTTCTTACAATTAGTAATGAATATATCCTAATCTTAAAACTTTTATATTTAATTTTTAACTTGGAATCAGGTTAAGAGATCATCTAGAACTTTCCCTGCGGAAGCTTGAGATACATATCTAATAGAATAAAAGTCGTTTCAACCGGTTATAGCCAAGTTTCGAACCAACTATGACAATTTCTCCTCGCTCCTAATATGTTTCCTTAACGAATATATCCTAATCTTAAAACTTTTATATTTAATTTTTAACTTGGAATCAGGTTTGGAGATCATCTAGAACTTTCCCTGCGGAAATTTGAGATACATATCTAATAGAATAAAAGTCGTTTCAACCGGTTATAGTCAAGTTTCGAACCAACTATGACAATTTCTTACAATTAGTAATGAATATATCCTAATCTTAAAACTTTTATGTTTAATTTTTAACTTGGAATCAGGTTTGGAGATCATCTAGAACTTTCCCTGCGGAAACTTCAGATACATATGTATCTAATAGAATAAAAAGTTCTTCTCAACCTGTTTTTAGCCAAGTTTCGAACCAAATAATTTAATTACTTCGCTCCCAATATGTTCCCCTCATAAATATATCCTAATCCTATGAATTTTATATTCAATTTTTAACTTAAAATCAGGCCTGTAATTCCAATCAGAACTGGCTCACATTTTGAGCCAACTTCCTGCGTTTACGCACATTCTTGAAACCAGGCTTCGGTTCAAAACTTTGGTTTGTTTTTTATGTTTTTTGAGCGTTTTAATTATTCATTTAACAATTATTTCCTTATCTTTCCTAAATATTTTCATGCGGGCCAAGTTTGAACTGTGCCCAACATTGACAAATGTTTGGATATTCGCCCTGGTTGAGTTCAAATTTACTTAACTTTGGGTCCAGAGGTCTCTCTCATATTTTGTCTACCCTAAACCAAACCATTTTTGAATATAAATATGACTCAGCAGTTTTTTTTTTTTAATAGTTTTGGATTAAGGTTCAGTTACCAGTTACGAACTGGTTCTTTTATGAACCGGAGCGTATAATGCTGAAGAACCTTTAAACAGAACATGTAAAAACTCTGAAGCCCATATGAAAAACCTGGTTTTCTTTCGTTTCTAGTGAAAAGTAATGTTTATTTTACAAGGTTTTTTTTGCCGATTTGATTTTCGGGTCGACGAACCAAATCTCAGCTATACAAAGGAATAGACAAGAAAAAATAGAAGGCACAGAAAACGGCTCAACAGGTTTTTTTTTTATTTCTATTGTGTATTTTAATTTGGTTTTGAGATTTGTATTAAATGAACAAAATAGTAATAATACACGAAGAATAGATTGCTAAAGATGTATATGTACATACAGACAGACAGATGTATGTATGTGTGTATGTATGTGTGTATGGGTATAGATATGTAGTTATAATCATGTTCATTATACAGAAACCTTGATATGGAAAAACTGTTTTATTTACACAAGAATTAGCAGAGCTACAAAAATAAATACACAGACATCAAGAGTACCCAAGTGTACACACATACACATGCATATGTATATGTATATGTGTATGTGTATGTGTATGTGTATTTAAAGTTTAATAAACGCGATCTGCTGCGATCTCGTGTTTCCTCAACGAGTTGCCCCATAAACACGAAAAAAATATAAAAAAAAAAGCCATAATAAAAATGATTAGAAACGAAGAAGAAGAAGAAGAAAAGCATAATGAAAGAAAAATTAATCCAAAGCAACTGAATTATGTGAAAAGATGTAAAAAAAAACCTAAAAACTAAAAACTAAGCCGTTCAAATTGAACAGAAACAGCAGAAAACCAGAAAAACATTTCACATTCAGGAAAAAATCAAAAACAAATATGAAAAAAAATAAATAAATTATAATACATATATGAAAAAATACATGAATGGAATGGAATAAATTCAAAGCAGCGCTCGCAGCCGCAAACCAAGTTGATGACGAAGAGACGAGGCGAGGTGCGAAGAGTTGGGCAAGAGTTGCCGTCGTCGCTGTTCGCAGCAGTGTTGCCCATTCAAAAAAAAACAAGCTGAACCAAGCTTGCGAAAATGAGCTAAATAGCTAAATAGCTAAATTAGCTATCCAAGTACAAATTGGCAATAAAGAGATTTGTCATTGAGCTGCCAAAAAAAAATAGCTAAAGCGCTTAAAAACGTCAACTGTTGTCGACTGCATGGCCAAATGTAGCTAGAAAATGGCTGACTTGGCAACACTAATCGCCACCTGCGTCCCGCCCCATTGCGGCGGGCGGCAGATAGGGGGCCAACGAACGTCTAAGCCGACTACGCTACGACTAAGTGAATGAGTGCCGCCGCATGCCGAGAGCGAGCGCAAGAGCGGCGCGAAAGAGACAGCGATAGACAAACAGAGAGCCCAGTTTGTGTGAAGAGAGCGCAGATGCGAGAAGAAGAAGCAGCAGCAGCAGCAGCGGCAGCGGCAGCGGCAGCACAAAATTGTAAAAGAAAAATTTATGGAATTAAACCAAACATGAATTATACATTCACATGCATTCATATATATAGTCGTGTGTGTGTGTGTGAGACGTCAAACAAAAGAAGAAGAAAAATATAGATATGTATGTATGTATGTATGTATGTATATGTGTAAGCAGCAGACAAGTATAAGCAGCAATTCAAACGGTAAATTGTTTTACAAAAGCAGCAAACGAAAGAAAACTAAATACAAGCGACAAGAAACAGAAGAAATTCCAATTTGAAATAAAAATAAAAAACAAAAAAACGCAAAATATGTATATGTATATGTATATGATATACCGGCTAAAAAAAAAACGGTATAATACTAAAAAACTTAACGAGCTGAACTCAACTAAAACAAACAAAAAGGAATTACGAAAAAAAACAAACACACAAAAGCAAACGAAACGTTTTTTTCTTCATTTCATTTCATGTCAGTTACTGTGAAAAAGATAAAAATGTTGTGAATTGCGGCTATTCTATGAAATATGTTAATATATCTGTGCCGAGAGTATATACGGTACACATACATATGTGTGCGTATGTATGTGTATATAGAGACTAAATACGATTGTATACATATCACGTTATAGAGAAACGCCTTCGAGTATGTATGCAAGTATGTATACATATGTATGTATATGTACATATGTATGTATGTATGTACACACGTTTACAGCAGATCTAAGAAAGAGCACCAGAATTGGGGGAGTTGGAAATTCCAGGCTCAGCTTATTTTCAAGTCGTGAACTGAACTGGTTCAAGCACGATCTATTCTATTTGGTTCATTTAATCGATTCAACTGGTTCATTTAATTTAGCTCAGCTTATGAATAAACAATATTATTATTATTTATTGTTAATATGAATTTAAATATATTTTTATGCAATAATATTTTTAAATAGCTCAACAATCGATAACTGATGCCAGTTGGAATGCTATGCAGATGGAAACGCCTTAAAATAGAATCCCAAACGCTTTGTTTTCTTTAAGTTTCTTTGATTTTCGCAGCAAACAAAAACCTTGAATAGATTCGACAGTTTCTGAACAGCATTGTTTAAATCTGGTTGCCAAAGTTTAATTTCATAAACTCTTTAATCATGCGTATACGACCAAAGATTGTCAAATGTTTAACAATGAGATATCATGATGGCATATTTTAAAAATAGTTATGGTTAAACAATCAGATATTTGAATGTCTTGAAAAGCCAATTAAGTTCTCAAATTGCCAGTTGCTTTCAAATAAAGCAAATGAAATGCGTCTGAAGAATTTTTTAAGCTAGTTTTAGAGAGCATTCTTCTATGAAAAACAGTTAATGAAGTCAGTAATTAAAATAAACTGTATTCAATGATATCGTAAAGTTTCAATCTTATAGGTTAAAAGACTGTCACAAGTTACTTTTATCTAGTACACAAACATATCTTCTCAATTTTCGAAAAGTCTAATCAGCGTTGATGCGGTTCTAATTGGAACATATACCCAAGTATCTCTAATACCACTTAATGATGTTCGAAAAACAAGTAGAGTATATAAAGTGATATTATTTGATTTCTTCAACATTCTTTTATACTCCACTAGATTAGCAGACATCTTAAAGGAACTCCCCATCTAATTAGAATCTAAAATTGTATCTTTTAGAAACCCTTCAAGAATACTGGATAGCCAATCATGCAAAGTTTATTCTTATTTACTTATTTATAATATTAATTATTTGACAAAACGAGTGTCAAAATATTAAATGCTAAAAGTCTAATTAGAATAAACATATTTCTAATAAGTAGCATCACCGACACGATGCAGTTATTCTTCCCTTCCTTCCCTTTATCTGCATTAACTTATAAGGGTTTTCCAAAGGAAACTTGAACCGAATCCGAGAACTAAACCAAAAGTCCTATTTTTTGACATTTAAATATGTATGTGTTTCAGCGATTTGGGAAATTTCACCCGCAACAGTGGTAAATTGGCGGAAAAGGGTTGTATGAAAGACTCTTGTTTACTTTTCGATCGGTTTCAAACTCATTTTCAAAGATCTATGAGATATACTATATATTCTGGTTCAGCATTAATAGCCTAGACTAGGCTTGTCTATCGGCTTAAACGCTTCGATCTCGAGAACTATATCTATATCTATATTCTTGTTGGCCTTACACATAACTAGTTAGTTATGTTTATGCAATATCGTTTGCCATTCTCTAAATATTTATTTAAAGTCAACGTCAAATACGTGGTATCTTCTAGTCGGGCACTCTTTGTGTATCTGTTTGAATTGTGACACAAGTAAAATTACAATGAAAATTCCAATTATTTTAGTTGAAATTTAACCGCAAGGTTCTAATCTTCGCCTAGGTTCATGTCTGTGTTAAATTAGGTTCATGAACTGAACTTAAAGACGCGGGTTTAATTCACAGCCTGATCTAATGAACCGGTCACAAATTTATTTGTTGACTTAAAGTACAACATTTGATATTAAAATTGCATATACTTAAACTTACTTAAACAAATTCTAGTTGGCAATCTATGCGTCTGATTGGAGCGCTTTAAAGTCTTCTATTCAAATTCCATTCACCCCAAGTTGTTTTTTTTCTTCTTGTTTCTTGTTTCTTGTTGCTTACCTTAACATCCGCCAATGTGGTGATCTTTTGCCAAAGCGAATCCTCGCCGAATATGGATATCATTTGCATAGAGTTTGTGTGCGATGTGATGCAAATGCGACATAATTGCGGATTGCATATCTCGTCGTCCATGTTGAAGTTGCAGGAGATCAGGATATGCGATAGGAATTGTAATAGAAGATGTAGCCCTGGTCGTGATACGTAAAGGTATGTGTGTAATTGGAATTGAAGCTGGAATCGGTATTGGAATTGGAGCTGGAGCTGCAGCTGGAATTGGAGTTAGAGGAGGAGGCGTGTGAGCAGCCAGCCGGCCAGCCAGCCAGCTGCATGCCAGATCTTCTCCTCTCTAGCGTCGCACTACCGTTATTTATCCGCGTTCCCGTTGCGGCGGCATTGGACTTCAAAGCGGACACCCGAAATAAAAAAAAAAAAATAAAAAACAATAACAAAAACAAACAAAATCAACAAGTGGCAACGCAGTTCGCCGTGCAGCGTGTGGCCAAATGTTTGTATTTTATTTTGACTTTTTTTTCTATTCTTTTTGTGTTTGTGTTTGGGTTTGGGCTTTTTTTTTTTTTTTTAGGCGTCACGGGAAAAGACGGAAAACGTTGACGCGGTTGAAGTGGCGGCGATTTGGGTACTGAAATGGAATATAGAGAACGAGAAACTATTTATTAATAATGAGAGAGTCGGAGAAATATAAAAATACATACAAACGAAAAAACAAACGTAGACGAAAACTAAATAAATAAAAATAAGAAACAAGAGAGGGAAAAAATTGAAATTCAAGAAAATAAAAACACGCACACAATAAACACACACACACACACACACACACACACACTAACGACAGGCAAACAAGCTACCCCTCCCCAAGCCCCCCCCCCCCCTCTACCAACGCTTTGTCACCTTCAAGCAACCCAATCTATATATGAGACTCGAGCATTTTTATTATTGTGTAGATTCCAAAAACAACAACAACAACAACAACAACGGTAATACAATTCTTACTGTCGTTGCCACACACACACACACACACACACACACACACGAACTTGATACAAACGAAAATAAAATTACACAAAAGAAAACAAGTCAAAACTAAAAAAAAAAAAAAAAAAAACAAAAAACTTAAAACACACACACACACACACAGACAGTGGGAAGCGAACAAATAAATAATAGCAAAAATCGTAACGAAACGAAATAATAAAATAAACTCTATGAGCCGGATGACTGCTACTAAAGGCAGGCAAGGGGCTCGATGGAGATGGGTAGGGGTAGGGGGGAGAAGGGGGGTGTGCAAGCCGAGGTGAGGTGAGGTTAACCGCCACAGAAACTACAACGATAAATTCATGTTCTCTCACGCGCGCTCTCTAGTTTTATCGCTCGCTCTCTCTCTCTCGCTTAAATATTTGTATATATACGTGTGTGTGTGTGTGTGTGTGTGTGTGTGTGTGTGTGTGCACGCTTAAAAGGGTAAGCAAGGACGGCCGAAGGGAGCACAAGTTAGTGTTATGCGAGTGGGGAAGGAGGCAAAGGGCCAAGCGTTGGGTATTGCACATAAAACTACGCAAAATGCCAAGGGCTTTGCATTTTGAAGTAAAGGCAAACATCTGCATATTAACTTAGAGTACAACTTTTTATCCAACTGAGGAGTGAGCCGAGCAGAACAGGAATCAGTTGATGTTGAACACACCCCCACATATACACACACCCACACACATGCACATGCCATTTATGCAACAAGAAAATAAGTCTCAACAGCAAAGATAACAACAGATAAAATCCTAAGCTGCACTTCATGCGCTTATTATAAAGAAATATATACATACATATGTATGTATGTATGTATATGCAAGTGCACCTATATATAGAAACATCCTATGTTAACAGCATCGCATCGCAACGCAGCGCGACTGCTTTTTCTTGCAAATTGGTATTAGTTTTCAATAAGCTACAAATTAAGAGCATCTCAACGCGACTGCTTTTTCTTGCAAATTGGTATTTGTTTTCAATGGGCAACAAATTAAACTTGCACCAATTTGAGAGTTGGCTTTAAGGCACTAAAAAATGACAGAATAATAAATACTTACATATGCATATACGCAACACTTGCAACACCTAATCAAATGCACACAATGATCAACACTGAAATGCCAATGCGTTTTCAATAGTGCGAGGAATGTGAAATTCCTGAACCAGTTCCAGATTCAGCTCAAATAACGACAACGCTTCTTGTACTATTCAAATGATGGAAATCAAGCGCAACAGCAACAACAACAAAATGGCAAAGTCAAATTTGGATGGGATCGCGATGAGAAGAAGGAAATCATAAGATCTAGAAAAACTGCAGTCAGTCGCGCAAATAGAAACAAGAAATAAGAACTACGCAAACGCTTACAGCGTCTCTCTATCTATCTCTCTCTCTTACACACACACACACACACACACACACCCATAGTAAGAGACACCAGCAACGACCTGGAAACTGGAACTGAAAACCCAACCAATTTGCAATACATATTTGTACGACCGAGTACTTGTACGTACAATTCCCGTCTCCATGTCGCTTTTTTTTTCTTGTCTGAATATAACTACAGCAATATACACGTTAGTATACTTACAAACATAACTATGTACATGTATGGAATATCTGTATAATTTATAAAGACACACACACACACACACACACACAATCGCATTCATAACTATGTGCATATGTGTATGTTTTTATGCCCTGCCCGCATATGGTACGTTCAATCGGTAACCCCCTCATCCAACCCCCCCTAACCATTTTTCTTTATTTTTGCCCCTTCTTCCAGCCATTAGCATTCATTGTGTTGTGTGTGTCCATGTCCAAGTCGAGTCTGCAGCTCACTTGGAGTCTTTTGTTTAGAGTTTAAAATAAAATTAAATAAAATTGAAACCATAGTAAAGAAAAACAGCAACGGCAACAGTAATGAATACAACGTTAACGTCAACTCCGGCGCCGACGCCGACGTCGACGTCAACGTCGCCGTTAATGTTAACGTCGCTCGCGGTTTACATATGAGGAAATATTACAGTTTATAACAAACGTATAAAATGCATGAGCATGGATAATGGAGTAAGAGTACGAACAGCGGCAGCAGCTACTGCCGGCAACTCAAACTAAGAGCAAAAACAAAAAAAAAAAAAAAAACAAACACAGGCATACAACCAAAGAGAGCCGAACTTCAGGCTTCCAACTAAATAGTAAAGGCAGAAAAGTCAAGAAACTCAACATTTGTCTCTTATTGCCGTTGTTGTTGTTGTTGTTGTTGTTGTTGTTGTTGTTGTTGTTGTTGTTGTTGTTGTTGCTATTTTCTGTTGCTGCTGTTCCTGTTGGCCCGTTGTCGCTGTTGCTGTTGCTTTAGTTATTTCAGCGTGCTAAAGTCGTAGTCCAAGTCGCAGCCAAAGTGCTCAACGGACAACTATTAAAGACAAAACAACAACAACAACAAAAACAACAAAAAGACGACGAAAACAAATACACGCTACTTACACTTACTAGCCATACATAACTACAATACACATGCATCTCTCTCTCTCCCTCACACACACACACTAACTGTATGTGTATGCACCGCACGTACATTTAATACTTAACTCTTGTGTCGTCGTCGTTGGTCTGTGTGCTTTAACTTTGTTTTTTTTTTTATTTAGCTATTGTACAGTTCCACAGAAAATTTATACAACGCACGGACGGTGAGTGGCTGCTAAGACTCAAAGGATGGTGCGCAAGGGGGGGAGGAGTATGGTGGTACGTACAATTTAATATTTGTATGAGCATATTTGCGGACAGCAAGCGAACAGAACACGAACACACACACACACACACACATGCATAGATAGAGAGCGAGCGAGCGAGAGAGAAAAACAGCGCTGAAGACTTGAAGAACACACATCGCAAAGAACGAAGACGAAGTTGGCGCACTGATAGATTTACACACAAATACGAGCGCGCGCGCGCGCGTGTAAGCTACTGCGTGTGTGTGTGTGTGTGTGTGTGTGTGTGCGTGTGTGTGCGCGCACTAGATAAATTCTAAACGCTGTCGTTGACTTAGAAAGTATCTATTGAAAGATACAGCGCGTTTCTTCATCTTCTTCTGCTTCTTCTTCTACCCAGTAGTAACCATAAAATGCGCAAAAATTGAGTGCAATAAAGTTGCGCAAATGTAAGAAGAATGCGAAAAGCAGAAACGAGTCACATGTACATGCATACACACATACATACATACATGCACACACATGTACATTACATTACATTGCATACGGTTCGCTTTCAATTAAAACTTTGCATAAATTAGAATTATGCAGAAATTTATTTCATAGAAAGAAGTTTTATATAGTTGGTTTTTTTTTTGTTTTTAAGCTCTTTAGAAGAGTATTAAGCATAGAAAAAAAGAGAATATGGTCTCACAGAAGTCAATAAATTGAAAATATAGTATAAGAGCTGGCGTTTACCGGCGTTGCCCGGTCTCAGTTTCTTTCTCTCAAATTTTGAAACTTCCCTTCGGTTACCTTGCGAAAATAATGAAATGAACAAAAGCGAAAGGAATTTTAGCCCCAAATTCCCAGTAAATTGATTTTCAAAACATTTTGCTCTCATTTTATTTGTTTATTCTCTTATATTTTTTTTTTTCAAGTTTTCAATGGTTTTCTTTAAGTTATTTTCGTATAATTCGGATTCTGAGCTGGTTCATTTTTCTATTCAAATATTCATGACAGAAACTAGCAACAAAATTGAGTCAATTTCTAGAATACCAAAACTCACAGTTTCAACTTTAATGATTAAAGATATACAACTTATTAAGATAATATTATCTTTTAGTAAACGAATTTCCCAGTTCCAATTTGAAAGATAAACGATTTGTGAAATGCTTACGATAATGCCAGATAATTGTCTTCGGGAGTGGGCGTGGCTCTCTTAAGATGATAGAGCATTTCGATCTCGAGCCATGCGTGGTAATTACGAGCTCACGACAATGAGCACAACGTGAATAATAATTTACATGTACTTGCTATAACAATGGGTCCGGAAGAAGTGCTGTGAGCTGTGTTGTACATACATACATATATTTATTATACGATAGCTAGATGAAGATACGAAGATACGAAGATACGAAGTCAGGCAAGATATGTGTGTGTATGCACAGAGATAAAGAGCGAGAGAGGCGAGAGACGAGAGGCGAGATAGAGCTGACTGGGGAAGTGGAAATTCAACACCTACAAAAACTACACTTGTTTGTGTGCATGTGTGCATGTATGTGTGCATCTGCACAGAGAGCATACTGAGATAGATGCACATATATCGGAAAGACAAGCTCCAACTGAAGATTGACAATCGCAACATGCGTTATACTATATAGGTGTGGCCCCCGTCAGTAACGCCCAATAACCA